TGTTTTTCCTTGACCCGTCTAGAGATGACAGGTGAACCATTCCTCAGTGGTGTCGCCAGAGATTTTGATGTTCCGAAAAGGTGTGATGCTTAAAAAAGTAATTTAAGATACTTAAAACAAATATAGACTCCAATTAAGTTTACTAGAGAACATCACATTTGGGGCCAAATTCTCCCAAGTATTTCCATATGACAAAAATACATGGTTTTTTTTATATTTGTTACTTGGAACGGAATAGTCCTATAGGTTTAATCCTCTATTACAATTTTCATTGACAAAATAAAAGGAAATAAGGCTAACTACCCTTGATTCTATCCTTGAGACCTATACATTCGTTTCTAAGAAGAAAACGATACAAACATAATAAATGAAGGGAAATAGCATCAAAGGGACATCAGCCCGTATACATGATTTAAGGCAGGGATGTTACTCATGTGCATGTTTCCTCTTTTGAGATCGTGCGTCATGTGGATACCGAGAGCACAAAAGAAATCCATTTCTCTCTCTCTCTCTCTCTCTCTCTCTCTCTCTCTCTATCTCCCCTACATATTACAATCATTGTTTTATCTCTCTATCTCATTCACACTCTAATAAATGCTAAAAAACTCGGAGTGTGCTAACAAGATATGCGAACCAAAATGTGCAAACCCCCTCCCTTGATTATCAGAAGGGTTTTTATAGTCTTCATGGAGTGATAAGCTTTAATCTCCAACTGATAACCGTAAGGTTGTAGTCCTTTCAATCTGCATCATTGATCTCGTTGTATGATTCGTACTTGAATCTATGAGTTGATCTTCATACTTATCTTCATCTCCACGCAAATTTGAATTTGCGATTTGTTTCATGTGAATTTGAATCTTCTAGTTGGTCTCACTCGAATTTGAATTTGTTAACTAATCATCCCACTAATTTGGTACTTATCTTCATCCTACGTGTATTTGGATTCCTTGCACTGGTCTCTTTGAAATCACAAAAACTATACGCAAATTTGTAGTTGAGTTCTTGCTTATCAGTTCACGTGTTTCATGATCAAGTTTTCTATTGATAAATATGAATTAATTCATTTATACTAGCATATCGTCATCGATAACCATATATCCAGTCGATACTCATCTTCAATTTTGAATTTGAATTTGCAAATGTGAGATCCAAAGAAGCTATTTCATGAGGAAAACCGGGATGATGTTGCTTCCCATCGCCCTTTCGTTCAATTTCTGCTACTCAGTTGGACACATCTCTATATATCTTCAGCTGCTTTCTCGATGCACATCCTTTAATTATGAAATTTAGTGAGGTTAAAGAGAGCTCAAAGATGAAACCAATAGGTTCAATTCTAGTTGAAAATAGAATTCCGATGAAGGAGATACGACCCTTCGAAGTCAATGTATTTTTGTTGGAATATGCATCAGCACCATCAGGGAATTGTGGATGCAACAACTTCTTCCACATGTATCAAATAATTCCACAGCTTTTAAGGATCAGAATCTAATGGTCCTGGTCCCATGAGAAAAGACCTCATATCGAGGGTGAATTCCCAATTTTGGTGATTGGGTATCATCCTAAATGTAACGCATGGGGTATAAGGTGGGTTTTATGGCTTTAATTGCTGAGCAATACGAATGATGGATTAAGACACCTTTGATTGATATGAAATTTAGCGTGAGGTTATAATTCCTTAAACATTGATCCTTGAGAATCTCGACTCAATTCCACAGCATAAAGTTCTGGGGTGTCAGCGAAGGTAAATCTTAACAGATGGTGTATACGGACATTGGTTAAGCCAAGTCCAAATATTGCCCAAGTTACATCACTCCTGGAGTATAAGATATACAAGACCTCAAAATGTATATCTTTTGAGAATTATCTCAATACATCAACATATGTCGAGGTTTCCCTTATACTCAGTCTGTTAAAGCCCCATATTCTTAACTGACGGGTTAAAAGAGTCCTATCACATCTCACCCCAAACTCCTCCAATATTTAGTGGAGAGGCATCCATGTGCCATGGAATATATGCATTCAAGAGTTTCGTCTCAAATAAAAACGTCCCTATGATCACTTACCCTTGCTTGTAAGTTATCACACTCATGTATAACTAATGTTGGATGCCGATAAATTAAACCATATCATGTTCCCCCATATATCTCATAGACATGCATATCAGACCTTAAGAGTGTATGTATCATAGTACCTGTCTAAAAAATGAGATGGCTTTAATTCTTAAATCAACTTTGAATATGTTCAGCTAACGAACTGTGGACATCATATCTTTATCGGTTGTAAGTTACAACATTTAGTGACTAATTGATGAGTAAAAAATCCACAGGCACATCAAGACCTTCACATGGTGAATCTTGATCATATCTTGTATTTCATATCGTATAGGGCATATCTTAGTAGGTATCATCAAGAACTATACTCATATCTTATCGACCCTAAGTTAATATAACTATCCAATGTTGGTACTAGCTTTGTTGTATATTTGACATCTTCAATCTATCAGGCGTTCGTTAGAACACATTTAGCCTTTATGTGCCAAAGAGACATTTCTTTAAGGGACTTGCTCGTCGAGTTTGCATATCCTTATTCAACGTGCGTTAAAGCCACTACTCATAACTGTTAAATATATACTTAACCCAAGGCATATTATTTTAGTCATAACCATCTTATTCTCCCATCGAGCGTTCTTTAAAAATGTACCTTGCCCTGACTCTTAGGAATCTGAATCCAAGGAGCCAAACGGGCCCTTAGGGAACAATGCAACTATGTCAGGGAAACAGATGCTCAAATTGGCTGGATTGCTCAGTTCATCCATATATTTTTTTATATGTTTAATTTTTAAAATATTTTTATTCTTTTATTTATGTAGACCCATTTTCATACTAAACAATGGGTCAAATTCACCGATCAAGACCAAACTTAAAGACGGCACATTCAACCAACCAATGTGAGTTTTCAAACAGGCTTCAAGATATCTACTCTTGTAGCTCTAAATCACTCCAGACATCATTGATGAGAAGGAAATATTATCACCTAAAATATCATCATGGAAATGGTCACATAATGAATCAATTGGCGAGATTTTTTTGTGTGGTCCAAAATATGAGAGCTTTGGTACCTTTATGTTTAAATGTCTGATTCCTTCCTATTCTAAATTTATGCTTCTTCTTCTAGGTCATGCAATTAGAAATCAGCCCCTTGTTTCTCAAGAAACCTTAAATCCAAATCGAAATATGGCCTTTGCTGGATAACAAATAATTTTTGGAACCAATATAGGTAGCCAAAATGATAGAGGTGAAGGGAGGAACAACTTTTGCGGGTCAATATTTCTTCAACTCTCGATTGCATAGGTTTTTTCAAACTAGCCAGATCAATAATGAGGGTCGTGGGGTACCTAGAAAAATCAAGAAAGTTGTGGTACACTTCCAATCTTTTGATTAGATGGTTCTAATGATGTGATGGTGGGAGTGTTGATAGCACCCTTATCTAAGAGTTCCTTGATAGTGCATTTTAATGTATAGCACTCCTCAGTACTGTGGGTGTGGTTTCTATGGTATCCACACCACTTGTACTTCTCTTTAACTTCGTATTTAGGTTCGACAGAGTCTGGAAGGACAATGACCACCGCTTGCAGGATTTTAGTTAGTATCATGGCTAGTGGTTTCTGCAGTGGCAGAACCTTAACTTCCGGAAAGGGCCTCCTGGTTTTAGTGTTTGCATTAACATTATTAGTCCTCTTGATGCCCCTAGGCTGATTATTAGTCTTTTGAGCTTGGGGCAGAGCAAGTGTCATGACAATCTAGCTTACCTAGGCAATAGTATTATTCTTTTTGCTGTTATTATTATTGCTCCTTTGTTTTCTTTGTGATGGTGAGGCCACAATAGGGTTCTTTGGTTTTGCACTGATAGCAGTGACCTTGGACCTTTCATGCAAAGCGACTTGGTCGATCATTTTTTGAAATGATAAAGTTTGTTCCCCATGGCTAATGAAGTTGATGTACTCCGGTTGAGAGTTCTCCAGACACATGCTCATTTGAGAAGTGTGTAATGAATGAACTTTGATGCGGCTTCCTGGAATTGGTTGGCAAACTCAGGGAACGATCAGAGCTTGACCTTGCACTGAAACAGGTAAAGAGGTGTGAGCCAAGGCGACTAAATCTTGCTAATGAACTAGCTTAAGTGGAGGTGCCTGAGCCGGGGGAGGTGACGCTGGAAGGCTACAGAATTGAAGAGTGGTCATCTTCCTTCTCTCTCTCTTCCTCTTTCTCCTCAGCGTTTGACTTACCCCTCTGTATCCCACCTAAGACCTAAGCTTAGCCTACCTAAGCCTATTACCCAAACCATCACCAAACGGGATGAACCAAGGGTTGTCAATTTAATTTTAATTTAATTTACACCCGAACTGTCCCCGGTCGAATTTAATTTTAAAATACATTCTTAGTCTTTGTAAATTATTTTACATCATTCACCTTTAATTACTTACCAAGTCATGATATAGAATCATAAAATCCATCTATGATTAAATCCAAAATACACATATTTTATTGTCTAATATTTTGGAGACCTTAACATGAGATCCTCATCACATGCAACATACCATATTATTGGACATTATCGGAAGGATGGCCACTAAGACCGTGTTCCATCGGAACACTCCCGTCGTACTATATATTTGAGTGAGTCATATCCATCTCTTATGTTTGATACTTAGGTTCATTGACCTTGATCGAACCACATCTCCATATGTTTTGCTACCTTAAGTAGTTCACACAAGCACAAGGAGGCACAAAAAAAAACAGGTTATTAAAATAAATTGGCTTTTTTAAATTTGTCTACACCTATCAACTAATGTTCATACATTCCATTCATATTCATAAACAAATATACAAGTTATAATCAAAGAAGTATATTAGACATAAAAAATGTTACTGAATCCTCTTTCCCTATATGAACTTAATAGGTAATGTGGGATCTTACGTCAAAACCATGTAGTGTCGTACCTGGGCATTTGTCATTATTGCTTTTGCTTGTTGACGAACTTTTGTGATCTTAGAAGAGCACACAACTGATGAATAATCACTTGGTCATCATCTTTTACAAGTCAATGAATCGTCCACCTCGTCGACCTTTGGATTCTCCCTTACATATGCCTTGAAGAAATACTCTTCTTCATGTCATCCCACAAAAAATCACAATCTTGATAGTCCAACTGATCGTAGAGTTTATATGCTGCCTCAAAGGTACTCTACACATCGCTTCATTGCAAATAGAAACTAAGATGTTTTCATAGATATTGTGTTTATTCCTTTCTACATTCCATGATTTAGCACTATTCACATAAAGTGTCATATCTCACCAAATTTGTAATACCCCTCTTTGAAGTCTTAATGTTATAAACCATACTTATGGTACAATATAAAATATTAGAATGAGTACTAAAAGGCTTACATTATGAGGAGTGCAAAGATGTGCCTTAAGATTCCACATCTTTTAATTTACTGCAGAATGGAAGATAAGCATCCAATAATAAAAATATGATATCTCTCAAATCACAAAAAGTTTATCTCTAAAAATTTTTTAATATTGAAATAGACACAAATATACAAAATATTACTCAGTGCCATCCCGAAATCACACCATTTAGTAAGTCCACGATTTAGTAACATTTACGTCACAATATTATTTTTACAATAGAAAATTAGGTTGTGCACCTCTCAATAAAATAATTGTTTATCTCAATTCACAAAGGATCTCTACCTCAAACCTTTTTTGTTGAAAACTAGACTCAAGAACAAACCTTAATCTAGTTGTGTGAATAATAAATTAATATTTTTTCTTCATAAAAATAAAATAAGTGACAATCACGTCACAGTATATATCATACTGCAGAATTCCAAGATGAACACTATCTAGTACAATTGCCTTTCTTCTCTATCAATATGGAGTTTCCCTTTCAAAGTTCTTTTGTTTCAAAGTAGACACAAAAAGTTAAAAAATATCTTTCTACATGCCTCATATCACTTTGTTAGGTAGGCTTGAAAATATAGATGTTCACATCTCAATGAAACACACCAAACTGCAGAATTTCAGGATAAGCTCTTTCCAATAAAAAAAATTTTCCTTATTTCGCAAGGATATTTATCTCTTAAATAATTTCTTTTAGAAACTAGGCTCGAAAAGCATCTTAAAAACTTAGTATGGGCCTCAAAATATTCTTTTAAGAATAAAAATAAAATCATGACATTCATGTCACTAAAAAAAAATCTTCATTGCAAAAAATAGCACTTGTGTACCCTTAAATAAAAATGACCATATTTTTCAAATTGTAAGAAGTTTCTCCACGAAATTATTTTGAAAGTAGACTCAATTTGATGAGCTATCGCCGAATATTACCCTAAAATAAAATTACTTACTAAGTGGAAAAATTCATGAAACTCAATATACAATTCCTAGATTTTGCAGAAGTCAGAACTGACACCCATGAAAGATAAGTCCATAACTCTCAATTCCCCTGTTATCTCCCACTGAAATTTTGCAAGAAGATCCTACTGTAAATAAATAAATTATTGAAGTATGCATTAGAGAAATACCTCATTATCTTGTTCATATTAGTTGTCCAAAACAACACATAATACCTTATTCTGCATAGTACCTTTTTGGTGCATGAATTATGCCAATAATCTTTTTGGAGGTTTCCCATACGACCACAAAGCCATTTTACTTCAAATCTCTAACATTCAACTCAACAAAAAATAGTGAAAAAAAAAGATATGACATCAAATAGATCTAGCTCTAATACCAATAAAAGTAGGTTAAGGTGATCTAACATGGTGTATATTGTTTTTCATTTTTCTTTTTCACACCGACTAGAACACTTACAATGGTATAATTACAATAAACTCAACTCAAAATATACAAATAAATAATCAAAAGTGGTTCTCACTTGCTGCCACTAATTACAACTTTTTTTGTTCAATGAATAAAACCAACATAATGCTTATGGGAGTAATAAAGCATAACAAATAAAATACTGTAAACGATAAAACAAGACACCAGAAGTTTACCTCAATCGGATTTAGTACACCCTACACCAAGACTCCTCCTCCAATAACACACGAGATCAATAGTAAATCTCGGATCTTCTAAATATGTGATAGTCCTGGCTAATTTCATTCACTAAAATATGAGAACAAGAACAATTTGATTGAGCGAATGCCTCAATGTCTAGGCAATTTTATGAGTTGGATGTGCCCACCTCTATAGTCTCTTATGGGGGTGTGCCCCCTATCTCTCTTTAGAGAGATGAGATCTTGGATGAGAGAGAGAGTGAGTGAGAATTTTCTCAGAGGGTGGCATTCCACCCTAGAGAGTTTAGAGATAGATTTTTTGCATAGAGAATGAGAGGTGATGAGTGGTTAGGTGCCTCGATCTCATCCTCCAAGTCGGGTTGACTTGAAGGATTGGTTCTGGGTTCGAGATGGACCCGAAACATGAGATCGCTCTTTCGGGAACCATATAAAGAAGACACGGAAAAGAGTACCAACGATAAGAAAGGAATAAGGGTCGTGATGTGGGACTTACTTCATGTGAGTCCGTGACACACTCCGGCTGGCTCGCGTGGGCGTCATCTTAGATCATGTTGGAAAGCCTCCTAGCCTATGGCCGGTTTGGAATCGCCTCCCTTGACCTGTTTGTCCTTTTCTGCAAACACACACACGTAATTAAAAGTACAAATAAGTAGGGCATAGGTCCCCACCTCGTTACAGGGTGAAGTGAAATAAATAAAATAAAATAAAGTAAAATAAAATAAAAGGGATGGAAGAAAATAAAGTAAGATGAGATAATTAAAATAAAATAAATAGATGGAATAGAGTAAAATATGGTGAGATAAAATAAGTGGAATAAAATAAAGAAAATAAAATGGAATAAAGAGAAATGAAATAAAATGAATGAGGTGAAAAAAATAAAATAAAATAAATAAAGTAAATAAAATAAAGAAGATAAAAATAAATTAAAATAAAATAAGTAGAGTAAATAGAATAAAGTAAAGGAATATAAGATAAAAGGGGTAAATAACGTGAAGTAAAGGGGAGATAAAACTAAATTAAAAGGGAATAAAACAAAAGAGGTAAGAGGGATAAAATAAAGTAAAATAAAAGAAGTCCATAAGATAAAGTGTTATAATAAAAAAAAAAGTAATGAGGTAGATGAAAGAAGGCAGAGTAGGATAAATAAAAGAAAGTAGTGGTTTAAAAAACGGATCGGTGGCCCGGATTGAGCACCCCAAAAATCTATCCGGATCGGTGAATCGGCGATTCGGATCGGGAATCGACGATTCGGATCGGGAATCGGTCGAATCGGTTGGATTAAGCTTTAAAAAGATCTAAAAAAATTATTAAAATTCATTATAAATGTTTCTTTTTAGGAATCCAATAAGAAATCGGGGTACTACATTATTAATTTTCATTTTTTCATCAATATGTGAATATTGAGATGTTTTTTCTTTGTATGAACTTATTTTGACTATTAAATTTACATCACACAAAAGAAAAATCATAGAATTATCATGGATGAAATATATAATTATAGATGGACTATAATAAAGAATGGTTGTAATCGATAAAAAATGGCCACCAAAATCTCGAATTGGTGGACAACATTATATACTGAAATTAAACTTGTTGCTCTACATTTTATAAACATTTTATTATACAAATAATAACAAATCCAACCTCTTATTTTTTTACAATATATATTTGTTGTATTACTTTTGATCTTTTGTTTTTGACATAAACCTTTTATTTCTTATGACAATAACTTTTTATTTATTTTTTTACAAGAAATGCTTGTCGTATTACTTTTTCTTTTTTTTTTAACAAGAACCTTTTTTTTTTTTTACAAGGAATACTTGTTGTATAACTTTTTTTTTTTTTTTTTACAAGAACCTTATATTTTTTTACAATAATGTTTTATTTTTTGACAAGAAAAAGAAATTTTATTGTATTACCTTTTTTTTTTTTTTAACAAGAACCTTATAATTTTTTTACAATAAGCTTTTATTTTTTGATAAGAAATTTTTTTTTGTTGTATTACCTTTTTTTGTTTTGACAAAAACCTTATATTTTTTTTAAACAAAAAATATATTTTTTATAAAAAACTTTTACTTTTTTTGTAAAAAAAATTATTTTGTAAAAAGGAAAAAATTAATTTGTTTATGAAGGAATAATGACACTTGGGAAGGAATTGATCTTGTGACATCCACAATACACAAAGCAACGCTCTAACCACCACATCAAATGTTAAGTTGAGATACAAAGAGGTCGAGCAATAATTATATCCTATTTCTTTCTGAGCTATTACCTTGGCGCAATTGTCCCACATCGAACCCACAAAACAAATTTGATAAGGATAAATAGTCTTCTGCTACTAAAGCTAGTCGCACGCGAAACCCATGTAGCAGTGTGGGTTTGTGATGGAGCACGTGTTTGCCTCTTGTGACTCATGACGTCAACCAGGCGAGTCATGGCCGTCATCCAGCGATTCACTCTACAGAATCACTGGTTCTTCTTTAGAATCGCGCGATTCCCGGTTGTTTTACAAAAGAATCGACACGGGATGACTGATTCCCAATTCAAATTGGTCGATTCCATGCCGACTCGACGATTTTTAAACCACTTAAAGAAATAAATTGATTAAAGGAGAGTGAAGGATTTTTTAGGGTTCTTTGAATGAGAGGGAAGAGTATTGGCTTTTTTTAGTTATTTAGATGAGAGAGAGGGTGCAGTGCTTTTTGTTGGGTTATTTAGATGTAAGGAGTACGAAGGACACGAGGAGCTTCCTTGGGTAAAGACGGTTGAACGAAACAAGATGAAAAGAAAAGCAAAGAAACAAAACGAAACCAGGCGAAAAGAAGAAATGGGGTGGGGCATTTCCTTTGGGTGTTTTTAGAGAGAGAAAATCATGAAGTGCAGCTTGTGAGTTTTTTAGAGAGAGGAGAGTAGAAGGCGCGAGAGGATAGCGGGCATGCTATCCTAGATGGAGGTGGCTGAGACCACTCGTGAGAGGCTGTGAGGGGCGGAGACAGGGTAGCAAGGTGATAATCATGGCTGCATGAGGTTGCGGAAAGTAGGCGGAAGGAAGCGTGGCTACCTGATGAGAGATGGTGGCAGCTGGTTGGGAGCGGAGAGATGGTGGCGATTTGAGCAGAGGAGAAGGTCGCAAGGAGAGAACACCTGAGAGAGGGTTGGCGGATGGTGATTAGAGAGGCGGAATAATGGGTTGGTTACTGAGTAGCAGAGAAAGGAGACAGTGAGGGAGCAGTATGGTTTGCTTTTGTGAGAGGTGAGGCTGCAAGAGTAATTGGAGAAAGATGGAGCTGCGGTTGGTGATGAGGAAAGGATGGATGGAAGTGAAGGAGAGATGGGCAGGGGAACTCTTTGTGAGAGTAGCGAAGAGAGATGGGGTTGCGATGGGTTGCAGCAGAGTAAGAAAGGAGAAGAAGAACAGTGAAGTCTGGCTGTAGGTGATAGAGCAGGGAAAGGTGAAGATGGGAAAAGTGCTAGTGGTGGGTCGTGGTTAAAGACAGGGAGTTAGAGAGAGAAAGTAGTGACAGAGGTGGTGTAGCAGAGAGATGGCTGCCGGGGCTGCCGGGTTCAGCAGAGTTGGTCTCAGGCAGGGAAGGGGCAGTGGCGACGCACGGAGCTGGGTGCACGAGACGGAGTTGTCGCACGTGGCAATGGGTTGCTTGTCACGCATGGCGATAGACTCCAGTCGCACACGGTGATGGAAAGAGGTCAGTCGCACATAGCATTGGGGAAGATAGGATGCGCGGGGCGTTGGGGAAAGATATATCGCGCCGCGTTGGGGAAGATGGATGCGTGCACGGCGATAGGTAAGATGGGTGCACACGGCGATAAGTAAGATGGATTGACGAGACAGCTGTAGGTAAGATGGGTACACGAGAGGGTAATACGTAAATGAGTACACGAGAGTGCGATTGGTAAGATGTTGGGCAAAGGTGGTCTCGCGGGACCACAGGACATGAAAGAGAGGAAGTCATCAAGAGCGTGCACCAAAGAAAGGGTGCTGTGAAGGAGTGAAGAGGAGATAGATGAATAAGGGATCCTCAGAAAAGAGGAGGTGAACCTTAGGGTGCACAGGGAGGAAGTGCGCATGCGGGAGATAAAAAAAAAAAAAAGGGGGAAATAGTGGTCTCGGACCACAATGAAAAGAGGGGAAGGTTGTAGTCGTGAGGGACCACAAGGAGGATAGTGGAGAGAGATCGTTATCAAGTGAGGCCACAATAAAAAAAGAGAATGAAAAAAAGTGAAACACAAACAGCAATGGGGTTCCGCTGTTTATGAAAGGGAGAGAGAAAGACAAAGAAAGCGAAGAGAGAGAAGAGAAGAGAGAGAAAAAGAAGGGACAAAAGAGATAAGCCCATGAAAGGGAGAGAGAAAGAGTGAGAAAGCGAAGTGAGAGAAGAGAACGAGAGAGAAAGGGAGAGAAAGTGAAGCGAGAGAAGAGAAGGGAGAAGAAAAAAAAAAGAGAAAAGAAATAAGCTCAGCTCTCTCAAGATGTCACCCAACAATGAAAAATGATGGAAACTTTTATTAAGCAAAGTGGGGTCCCTTGTACAATGATAGTACGTGATATATAAATCTTTGACCCAAACATGGGTGGATTGATCAAAATTAAACTTAATTGCTGAAAATTTAAAATTTAACTGAATTAAATGAAATTCTAAAAATGGATGCACAATGATTGTTTTGCCCCTGCCTAACAATACATAAAATTCTAAAACAGTTCATGCTGTTACCCCTAAAATGTATGTGATCATCCATGGATGATCCAAGGTTGCTCCGGTGCCCGTTTGAACGAAAGATGATTGTTTTCTTATAGGGCTCGGCATGGCGATCGATTTGATACCAATTTCGAGCCACGGATCGTGTTTTTAAGTCACGATCATGCGACTTCAAATTTTGATGAATCTTGAAAACTTCGGATCGATAATGTGCTCGTTCCTTGATGTTTTTTTATGATTTCTTCACTGGATCACACTGAGCATGTCGTCACGATCACGTGGCAACAAATGCAACTCGATTTCATATCTAGGCGAGGATTTTGTATCTTTTGAGTTTTGCTGGAATACAGAATTTCGGTGTCGAAATTTGAAGTCACTTCATCGGCTTTCTGTTTAAAATCTGACCGTTCATCATCAGCGGGGTTCGGAGCAGTGATAGCCATGGACCTTACACATGCGATGCAACTGGTTTTACGTTGATCGGATTTGCGAGGGCCGTGATTTGAGCGTGATTGGACTTGGGACAAATGAGATATGGTCCCCAAAATTCACTGCTCGAGGCTGGCAAAATAGTCACCTTTAATGGTGCTTTGGTGCAGGGAGGCCACACGGCAATAGTGCACGAGCTACCCCTTTTTGGTCTTTTACCCATAACTTTGTCTTAGAGTGCCCGATTAAGTCGAAACTAGACCCTAAAGGGTTTTCGACCGTTCCAGATCCAATGATCGTGGCCCCATAACCTTTTAACGTCATGAAGTCAAGACTTGCACTATAGTTTAAGGTCCTACAGCTGGACCATGGTGGTGATGAATGGCAGCCTGTGGAAGCCATAGAGTGAGTATGGTGGTGGTTTTGACTCACTTTGGGGTAATGGGAAGTGGATAATGGTGACCCACTAGCTGAGCATGGGTGAGATTCACTGAGGAATGATGAATGGTAATGGAGAGAGATGGATATACTGGGGAGGTGATGAAGGTGATGTGCGCACACGGATGGGTCGCTTTGGGAAGAAGTGCGTGAAAATGCACGTAAAGGGCGTTTGAGCGTGTGTGGGGGCATGTTTAAGGTTATGCCTCCGGGACCTATGCAAAGCAGTTTAACGTAATGCCGCCAGGATGTGCACTAAGGGTTAAGGTCATATAGCTTGGACCGTGGTTATGCAATTTAATGTCATGCAACTAGGACCATGCAGTTTAAGGTCGTGCAACTAGACATCCGCTACAGTTTAAGGTCATATAGCTCGGACCATACAGTTTAGGGTCATGCACCTAGACCATTTAAGTGGGTTTCCATGTAAGTAAAGCTCCGTGGGAGATAGTAGCTCGGTTAGAAGCGGACCCACTGGGGATTACTTGGGTAAATATGACTCCATGAGGATAATGATCAATGGCATGCATATAACTCCACTGAGAATGAAGTCCGGAGAACCAACGGAACCCCACTGGGGATTGAAAAGATAAGAATGACTCTAACTTCATGGGAATAATGGGCTACAATACGGATGTGTCTCCTACTGGGGATAAGGGACACTGGCTTACATGTAGCTCTACTGGAATGATAGTCCGGAGCACAGGTGTGACCCCACTGGGGATAGTGGTAGAATACACCAGGTGGAGAGGTGCGTCCATTTCACAGCTTATAGTCATGTGCATGGACTATCTGTCATGCCGTTTAACTTCTTGCTATAGGGACGTGCGTTACAGTTTTAAGGTCTTGCAGCTCGGACCATGGCTATGCAGTTTCAAGTCATGCGGCTAGGACCATGCAATTTAAGGTCATGCAACTAGACCTCCACTACAGTTTAAGATCATATAGTTTCGACCATGGAGTTTAGGGTCGTGCATCTAGATCATGGCTATGCAGTTTAAGGTCATGCAGCACGGACCATTGTGTGGGTCGCCATCTAGGAAAAGCACCATAGGTCTGTAGATAGCAGTATGACTCGGCAGAGAGCTTTAGATGAAGATGGTGGCCCTACAAGGAGTGGCAAATTGAAGCGAACTTCACTGGGGATTAAGAGGGCAAGTGTGACTCCCAGTTGTGAAGGATGAGGCTTCATGTAACTCCATTGGGGATGACAGGCCAAAGCATAGGTGTAACCCCACTAGGGATAGTGGTAAAACATGCTCGGTGGTAACAGGGTCTAGCATAAGGGCACGCATGATAAGAAATGGGGCATGGGCAGTTAGAGTATATGATGGAGGCTTAAGAGGGCTATGAGTGGTATGACTCAAATGGAAAAATGGAGGCCAAGAGAGTCTTGAGGTAATGGTGACGCGTGGAATGGGTACAATGGGTTGTGAAAGCATCCTATCAAGTGTAGGGGTATACGGTTGAGACTGCAGAACACCTCTTTGAGATATTGCTTTGTAGAGGCGAGCGCATGCCTTGCATGCTTTACTTTGAAGCCTCGCAGTCGAAACCGTGGTATACCTCTTTGTGATATGCCATTGTAGAGGTGGTCACATGCCTTGATGGTTTCATGCTCTGCTTCGGAACCTCACAGCTGGAACTGTGGTACACCGCTTTAATATATGGCTTTATAGAGGCAAGCGAATGCTTTGACGGTTGCATGCTCTGCCTCGAAGCCTCACAGTTGGAACTGTGGTACACCTATATGGCTTTGTAGAGGCGAGCGCCTGCTTTGAAGTGCATGCTCTCCTTCTAAACCTCACAGTCATAACTGTGATACACCTCTTTGTGATATGGCTTTGTAGAGGTGGGCGCATTCTTTGAAGTGCATGCTCTACTTCAAAGCCTCACAATCGGAACTGTGGTACACCATTTTGTGATATGTAGAGGTGGGTACATGCTTTGATGGTTGCATGCTCTGCTTCAAAACCTCACAGTCAGAACTATGGTACAGCTCTTTGGGATATGGCTTTATAGAGACTGGCGCAAGCTTTGAAGTGCATGCTTTGCTTTAAGCCTCACAATCACAACCGAGGTTCATGTTGATTAAGGAGGACACGTCGGAGAAGTGGTGTCCTTTCACCATGGGCTTGTGAAGAAGGATGTAGTAGGGGAGGCGTAGGAGGGTGTCATGCGGTAACCCCATGTTGGAAGACATTTTACATCATCATGGGTTCCCGGTCAATAAAGCCTAACAAACAGTGAAACTTTTGACAGTCTCAAAATAACCTCAAAACTGACCAAGATCTTCATACGGACTCTCAAAAGTCTCTTGCCAAGTTTCGTCCATTCCGACATGTTTAAGGTAGTGCAGACTGAAAAATGGTTTCGGTAGAATCAGCCTTTAGCACCCTGAAACGGACCCCTATAACTGGAACTACATTTTTCAGCGAGTCGAATTGCTGTGGGACTACCACCATTGGATCTGACATGGTTGAAAACCCCCAAGGGTCAAGTTTTAGCTTAAACAGATATTCCAGGAAGAAGTTATAGGCAAAAGAACGAAACAAGAGGAGCCGCACACTATTCCCATGCGACCACCCTGCAACTGAACTCCATTAAAGGGGTAGTCACGAACGGCGACTTTCGACGCTTATATGTCCCTCATCCGAGATCGTATCGCGCTCAAACTTGATGGAACGTATTCCACTCGTCGAGACGAGGGTTTCGATATGTGACACGCCCCGCTACGATTCCGGATCACCGAGAATAGCTAGAGAGAAGTTGTTGATCCATGAATAAATTGTAGGAAAATCAGCAGTATCATGGCTTGCTCTAGCGGCCAAATCACACCGCTCACGAACCCGATCAACGCGAAACCAGTTCCATCGCATGCATAAGGTCTAGGGCTATCTAGTCTGAACCTTGTTTATGAAGAACGATCGGATTCCGTATACGAAGCCGACAAAGTCACTGTAAATTCCATCGTTGGAATTTCAGATTCTGACCAAAACTCCAAAGTTGCAAAATCTTCGTCTGGGCATGGAATCGAGCTGCGTCTGTTGCCCTGATCTTGACGGCAGGCTCAATGTGATCCAACGAAGAAATTATAGAAAAACATCAAGGAATGAACACATAATCAATCCAAAGTTTCAAGATTTATTCAAATTTCAAGTCCCATGATCGTGTCCTAAAAATACGAGCCATGGCTCGAAGTTGGTATCAAATCGATCTCCATGTCGAACTCTACAAGAAAGCAATCGTCTTTCGATCAAAAGGGCATCAAAACAGCTCCAGATCATTCATGAAAATCATGCACGTTCTAAGGCAACACAGGGATTGTCTTGAAATTCAACAACTTGTTAAGAAGTAGCAAATCTGTCAATTTGCACCCTATTTTCTAATTACTTTTAATTCAGTTAAATCTTAATTTCTAGTAATTAGGTTTAATTTTGATCAATCCACCCATATTTGGGCACAATTTTATATGTACTACGTATCATCATTGTACGCAAGAGGATTGAACCCTTCACAAAAGAGAATTTTTACTTAATAGAATTCCAATAGAATTCCCTTTCTTTCTCATCGTTGGGTCACGTTTGGAGATAAAGAGTAAGGAGAGAGAAACTTTTGGACCGGTACCCCTTGGCTCAAGGTAAACCTTCTCTGTCTTCTTTTCTTTCTTCCTCTTCGTCGGCTGAGCCTCCCTCAGAGGCCATGCACTGCTGTGGAAGTGTCATGCATGCCTCTTTCTTTTCCTTTTCCCCTTCCTATGGTT